GTTGCAAAGACGTCCGCGCGAGAGAGAGAGAGAAAGCAAAAGTCGACCGCGTGACGGGCCTCCTTTCCTTTCGTCACCTCCACGACTCTGTCTCAGCAGATTCTATCCTCCAGCCGCTTCGTCCAAAAAAAGAGCTGAACGTACAAAACGGTCTACCTTTAAGGAGACGGGACCCAGCGTCAAGACGCCAGTCGCGACTCCCAGTCTTGGGGAGTTTTTCCTGCCGGCCCTCGGACGAACGTGGCCGCGGGAGGACCCGCTGCCGCCATGTGCGTTCGAGACGTCGATGATCTTCACTGCAATTCACATCACTTAACGCGTCAGGCCGCGCTCTTCATCGACGCACGAGCCGAGTGATCCAACGCCTACGGTCGTACGTTTAACGTTTCATTTTAAGTGAGACGGCCGCCGAAACAAACGACGGCTCGCAACAACAAATTTGTGTCCTTGATAGTGTGGAAAAATAAGGTTTGACGACCGTGGGGAGAAGTGGCCGGCGGCTTGGCGTNTCCGCCAAGAGCTCTTTGAACGCACCCTGACCGCGCGAGTCGACAGATCTGCCTCCCCCCGACGAAAAGGGTCTCCGATGCAAGAGTTCGGTAGTTTCGATCTCTCTCTCCTACGTACCGGCACGGAAGGCGGACATTCCGAGGTGCTGCTACCCCCCCAGAGAGAAGCAGACCTCGCCACAGACTGGTAAAACCTCGCACTCTCTTTGCTTCAGAGCTTCGCCGCCGCTCGCGGACCGAGCGACAAGAGAGCAAGCGAAGGACCCCGGACGGGTCTCCTAACATCTGCCACACGCACTCGACGATTCGTCCAATCCAGAAAAAAAAAGTTTCGGTCAAGACACGACTGGGAGCCTTCCTCGCGAGGAGAGAATGCAAAATCCAGCGTGAAAAGAAAACGGTAATGATCCTTCCGCAGGTTCACCTACGGAAACCTTGTTACGACTTTTACTTCCTCTAAATGATTAAGCTCGAACGCCTTTCCGGGCCCACTCGAAAGCAGGCCCAGTCCAACGGCCTCGCTTAGCCATTCTATCGGAGGTAGCGACGGGCGGTGTGTACAAAAGGCAGGGACTTAATCGGCGCCAGCTGATGACGGACGCCTACTCGGAATTCCTCGTTCACGGGGCTGAGTTGCAAGCCCCGATCCCCAGCACGAAGACGATTGGCACGGTTAACCCGCAGTAGGCGAGACTGCCCCCGTGAAGGAACAGCCCCAACCTCCCCTCTCGGGGCGGGTTCCCGGCCTGACCAAACCAAGACCG